GCTTTCAGTACTACAGTGTCTTGTGGACCTGAAACATGTTCTTAAGTGCTACCATTCAGATTTAGGATGTCAGTGAATTAATAAAGCTACGGAAGGCCTTCTATAAACAAACACATTAAAAAAACCTCTGTAGTCATCTGTTTCCTCCAAGGCATTGTGAATCCTACGTACATACACATATGTTCACACTTTCAAAGCTCAATCCTCAAATAAAATATTTAAGTAAAAAGAATATTTAACTTTCATTGAGTGCTTGCTCATTATGAGGCATGGGGCTACATGCATTATAAGCACACTTTCATTTGATTCTCAAACAAAGAAAGACAATGATCTCAGAGAGATGAAAAACAAATGAGGAACATTCTATCATTGTCTCAGTTTTCCACCTTCAGAGAGTATGCAGGTGGGACCAATATGGAGCCTAGCAGGGAATTTGCATTACAATGTAGCAAAAAGTCCAGGAAGATGAGAATAGCAAGGTACCTGGAGAACTATGTAGACAGAAAACTCCAGAACATGAAGATATTCCCTTTATGTATTTGCTGAGGATTGACCAGTATATGCATGGAATATTCCCAAGTCCTGGAAATGAACCAATTGAAAGGATGAAAGGGGTCAGTGCCCACATACACCCAAGGATGCTGCTCCCACCAGCCAGACGGAAGAGCCTTGCAATTCCAAGAGTACCAGTCAGAGTGGGCAGAAGGGTCTTTCCGAGGCAACGAGGAGCAATTAGTTCTAGACTGAATATTGCATTGGTCTCTAACCATTTTTAAAGTTAACTCTCCAAAGACTTACCATGGTTTCCAAATAAATTAACTCTGTCCCAACTCATGGCTCAAGGATATTTATAGATATACACAAGCATTCTGTACCTAAGAAGGGAATATTCACTATGTCTGATGTCAAATCAAATATTATGCAGCGTGAAAGGAAGCAAGAAAACATAACTCATAAGAAGGAAAATAATGGATCAATTGAAATTGATGCAGAACTGACACAGATATTAGCTTTACCAGTCAAGGATATTGAAAACAGCTATTGCAATTGTGGGCTACATATTCATACACTTAAATGGGACATGGAAGATAGGAAAACGATCCAAATGGAACTTCTAGATGTAAGAACGCCTGAAATGAAAACTGCATTGGGTGGGACAATTGTCAGAACAGACAGTAGGGAATAAAAAGATTACTGGATTTGAAGGAATAACTATGTACACTATAAAAAATGAAATGAGAAATGAAAATAATAACTTTATAACTTAAAGTGAACAGAGCAACAACATCAAGTGGCCTCAGATATGTGAATTGGGGTTCCCAAAGGAAAGGAGTAAAAGTATTTGAAGAAATAAAGCCCTCAAATTCCAGTTTTAATGAAAACCACATTCTCACAGATGCAACAATCCCTAAGTACAAGAAATATGAGGGAAACCACAGCAAGGCACATCATAATCAAATTACATGTGTTTTATTTTTAAATTTTTTAAGTTGAAGTAACATTGCATTATAACATTATATAAGTTTCAGGTGTGCATCAATATAAATTAATGTCAGTATACACTACATTAAGTTCACCACTAAAAGTCCAATTTCATCCATCATCATGCAATTGACCCTTTTACCTGTCTGACTTATTCATCTTCCCACTTCCCTTTCAGTAACCACTAATCTGGTCTTATAGACTAAGTGTTTTATTTAGTTAATTCATTTTTTTGTTGTTGTCTATATACTGCATGTGAGTGAAATCATCTGGTGTTTATTTTTCTCCATCCGACTTATTCATTTAGCACAAACCCTCTAATGGCAAATAGCAAGATTTCATCTATTTTTATAGCTGAGTAGTGTTCCATTGTATCTGTATACTATGACTTTATCCAGTCACCTGTAAATGGGCCACAAAAAAAACTCTGAAAAACATAAGGAGAAAAAAAGAAAGGAACAAATATAAATATGCTGTAAATGATGCAAGTAAGAAGACAGTGAGTGGAGTAACATCTTTAACCTACTGAAATGAAAATAAAAATATAAATGTGTTCATCTAGAATCCTCTGTCAAAGAAAAGAAAATCTTTCAAAACCAATAGTGAAATGAAGATTTAAAAAAAAAAAAACTAGAATGTGAGAGAATTCATTACCCACAGAATTATAGTATAAGAAATACTAAAACAAGCGCTTTAGGGAGAAGGAAAACCAATCAGCTAGAAAACCAGACGTTTACAAAGAAATAAACAGCACCAGATATGGTAACTACATAACTACAGCTTTTTTTCTTATTATTGAGATTTAAAAAAGCAATTGACTATTTAAACAACATATAACATGAGCTTTAAAATACAGTTACGTAAAATAAAATAGATGCCAATAGCAAAAAAGGGTCAGTAGGGGAGTAATCAAAAAATATCATGGAGCTATTTTATACATGAAATAGTAAAATATTATTGCAGGAAGACTATGATAAATGGAAGATGTATACTATAACTCTAAAGCAACCATTAAAAGTTATAGCTAATAAGTTAGAAATATAGGTAAAAAAGAATCATGAAAAATATTCAATAAATCCAAAAGAAGGTAGAAAAGTGGTAAAAGGAACAAAGAACAGATGGATCAAATAAATCTGAGTTATGAGAACAAGACTTAAATCTACCACTGTTCATAGTTACAGTGAACGTAAATGTTCTAAATGGTTCAACTAAAAGACAGAGCTTGTTCAGTTGCCATTTTTCATAGAGGCTGCACCACAATGTATTCTATCAGTGGATGAGTGTTTCTTTTTCTCCACATTCTTGCCAACATTTATTGAAGAAACACACTTTAACTATGAAAGACACCAACACATTAAAGTAAAAGGGTAGAAAATGATTTGTAAAGTTAACTCTAATCAAGAGAAAGTTGAGGTGATTTATCATTATAAGACAAAGCATATTTCAGAGCGATTAATTTTAGCAGGGTTAATGACAGTAATTTAGTAACACTAAATGTGTCAATTAGTTTGGTCAAAATAATCCTAAATATTTATGCATCTAATTAATGTTATGGCTTCAAAATGTGTGAAAGCAAAAACTCATGGAAGAAATTCACAATCTACAATTATGGTCACTCAGAGATTTCAGTACCACTCTCAATAACTGAAAGAACAAGAAGGCAGAACCCAACAGTAGGATTTGAGTAACAGTATCCAACTCCATTGGCCTAACTGACATTTATAAAACATTCCACCCAACAACTTTCTTTCAAGCCATGTGGAACATTTATGGAGATGGATAATTCAATGAATCCTTACTAGGTAGATGCTATCAATACTCCTATTTACAGTTGAATAAAGGAAAGAAGGAAGAAATTAGGTAACTTGTTGAAGACACAGCTTTGAATTCAGACTACAGAACTCTTCATCACCAATTCTAGGATCTCCCTCGAGCACCTGGAATAACTCAGGTCTCAGTGAAAACTGTATGACTTAGAATGCAACCCCTTTTAAATAAACAAAGGATAGGCTGCTCAAATAGTGTATTCTAAGTACTACTTGGAAAGGAAGTATGTCCCCCTCTCCTCTCCTATTCCCAGTCGAAATGGCCTGTCTGCTTCCTTTAAGAGACATGACTTATTGGCATCATAAACTCAGGCTCCAAAGCTGCTGGGTCTGAAAAAGAAGACAGTTGCAGACTATAAAAGACTCAGGGGAGCTGCCTCTTCCAGGCTGCCTCAGTGTGGGATGGGTGATCCAACACACATTTGAACACCAATCAGATGTCCACCCCTCTTTAATTGTCAGGATTCTGACCACTGTTTTTGCAGGAAGGAAATAAGATTTTTTTTTTTATTAAAATGAAGTAAAGAATCCTTAACTTAGAGTTGACTTTCTTTGTCCAGCTACTCTTCTCAGTGATTAGTACTATAATGTATGTAATAATTAAGACATGGAAAAGGTCTGTAATGATTTCCAGGGTGAGGTTTCCTTACTTATCTGCAAGAAAATGCCATTGAGTGGACTGCATTTTTAATAGATCTTTTATCTGGACTTGGCAATGGCAGCTTCTATGAGAGGAAATGTGACTAGGGGTATTATTCTACATCACCATGCTAAGGGGAGGATTCAAACTGCCCAACAAACGAGTGTTGATAAGATTTCAAAATATTTTTTCTCTCTGAGATCTTTCTCCCTCACCACCATCGACTGAATTTCCATCATGCTTTCACACTGTTTCTTTCCCGGCTACCATCTTTCCTAACCAACCATTAGCGAATCCCCTCTCTGTTCCCTCTCATTTCCAACAACCATTCCTCTTTTTTTTTTCTGCTTCTTGCCTGTCCTCTCTTCCTCACCCATAGCTTCCAGCGCCCCCTCCTGGCTGGGCCGTGTGGGTGAGGTATACGAAGCCGGGTGGGCATCTGGGCTCAGGCGGGGGTAAGTTGCAGGAGGTGTCTGAAGCAGCGGTGCACACAGCAAAAGGTCCCCCTTTTGCGAGTTAATGCTTGTACCTTAGTGTGGGTCTTGGCGCACGCTTTGGAAGCCCTTGTTTTCCGGGGCTCTGTGGATTGGGAGCGGGACGCTGGAAAGGGGCTGGCCCTGGGACCCCAAGCTCGGGGGCTGAGCCGGCCGGGGAGGGAGTGCGGGGGGAGCGCGGGGCGGCGGCCAATCAGGAGGCGAAGCCGCGCCCCCTCCCGCTTAGGCGGCGGGCGGGCGGCGGGGAGACTGGGCTGCCGGACTCGGCAGGACGCGGGAGTTCTGAGCGCCCCGGGGCATGGACCGAGCGCTGCCCGCACTCCTACACGCCGGGCGGGGGGCGCACCCAGGCCGGGAGCAGCTGCGTGCGCACGGAGTCGCCCGCCCAGCCCCGCTGGGATCCCGGTTCGCCGCTGGTCCCCTTCGGACTCCCAGCTGCAAACTTGGTGCCAGTTCCCAGAGATTTCCAGAGGCTCATGAGCTGCTCTGAGAGGAAACCCTCTGCCTGTTGTTGAGGAGGGCTGAGCCCGGAGCGGAGACACTCAGAAAGAAAAGAAAATGATTTCCTGGGACATTGCCCGCATTGCATTGCTGTCTGCCCTCCTTTATTGTGCCCTAGCTCAAGAGGAGAGCCCCCCGGAGGAGATCCCCGAGGGGGCCTCCACCTTGGCTTTTGTGTTTGATGTGACTGGGTCCATGTACGATGATTTGGTTCAGGTTATCGAAGGGGCTTCCAAGATTCTGGAGACGTCTTTGAAAAGACCCAAGAGACCGCTTTACAACTTTGCTTTGGTGCCTTTTCACGATCCAGGTAAGGGATACGTTTATCCTTTGTATTTATTTCTTATGGTTACTTTACTTCTTATGCTGTGAAATTGTGTTTGTGGCAGGAATTTCAAATCCTTTTTTTTTTTTTTTTTAAATGTGTAGCTAGCTACAGTTGTAACAAAGAATTGCTGGCTGGCATTTGGCTTGCTCTCTTAACACCTACTTCAGTCTCCACCAGGGGCTAAATGGCTTGTTGGGGATGCTTTATACCCTGGACCCCAAAGCTGGGAGTACGGATTGACAGAAAGAGCCCAAAGTCTTGAGCTGTGACATCAGAATCAGAGGGCACTGACTTTTTCATTTTAGAGCTAAAGAAATGTTTATTTACCAAGGCTGATTGAGGCATGGCTAATTCAGCAGCAGTACTTTAAAGAGCTAACATCCAGGCTGAGCGCACAGGCAGGATAAACGCACATGACTGGGAAAGAAAACTGTGTGTGAGACATGAGGAAGCTTGTAGGTAATAACTACTGGGGAGGAGAAAATAATAGAGAAGCCATTCATTTTTTAACGGAGTCTATTCATCTTTGCACCAGATCATCATTAGTTAGGCTCACAGATGATTATAAACATTATGTCCTTGTCTCATCCAGAAATGCATGTAATTTGGAATGGCGGTGCTCTTTAAAGGTAGTTGAAGCAAACTAACTTTAGTTTTTGCCCTAAAGCCATGGGTTTCAGCTGCTCCACTGTAATATGATCCTATTTATTTATTTATTTCCCCCCCTCAGCTTCACTTTAAAGTGGCACCTTTTTGTGAGTCTTCTAGGAGCTCTCATTGTTATCACCCAGGGCAGCATTTAGAGGGAGCCTGGGGCGGGCTGTTTTAACATCCACCTGAGTTTCATTAGCTCAGATCACTGCCTAGATGAAGAAATAAAGCAGTGGTTTCTTAAAGTCCTCCCCCACTGTTCTTCCATATTTTCCCTGCTTTGAAATTCTCTCTTCACTGAAAGACCTTGACACAACCCCTTCTCAGTCAGAGCTTGATGTGAGCCTCTCAAATTCTTTCCTTGTGCATTTGACAAACATTTATGAGTTCGAATTATTGGTAGCTGTTAAATGTGGCAGGTTTTAGCTATTAAAAAATGGCACAGGGAGAAATTCAGAGGGAAATAGAACCTTCTGGTATTATTTTGCTCAGCAGATGATGAAAACAATAACCTATTTTACTCTTCCTGCATATACATATGTATTAGTAATTTCTACATTGATGAAACATGAAATGTATCCTTATTTAAATAAATAATTGGATGGTTATTTATTGTGTTTGCTGTCTTAATAAGATACTTCATGTGTTATAATGGTTTAATTTTTTTACATGTTAGGTGCCAATTGCGATGCTGTTCAAGATTTTTGGAATTAAACAAATTCCAAATTTTGGAATAGCCTAAAGATGTTTCTCTATAGAAATGAATCTGAAGTTGGCTGAAAAAATAAGTAGAAATTGTTTTCTCTAATTAACACCACAATTTCCTTTTATCCAAAAAGCTCTTATGAAATGATGTTGCTGCAACAAGAACACACAAAAAAAATTGCTGCAAGTCATAAATGGAACTGAATCATCTTATTTTGATGTGATATGAAAAATTATTGGAATTGTATTCTGATGTGTCGCCTCTCTATTGCTACCAAATGGCAAAGTTTGTTGTAGTAGACTTTCCTATAGCTTAGCAATCAAGATTCAAACTGGGGTAAACTTGGTATGCCAATAAAAATGACTAGTAAATTAGAGATTTTTGAATTGCATAATGAGAAAATGATGAAATTGATTCCATACAATTACTTGTCTGCATAATTCAGTAAAATTATTAATTTCAATTCTGTTGTGACTCAAGATAGAAGTAACCAGTGTTTGTTATCTAAGATTATTTATATTGTTAAAGATAACATGGGAAATAGAAGGTAAAATATACTAGTAACCTTTAATTTAGTTTACTGATCCACTTTAATGGATGATGTTTTCTGAGTGTGCGTTATCATTAAGGATTTTTTATTCCCTTTTACTTCTGATTGCCAATCTTCTTCAACTGACACAAAAGGCCTTGAATGGAGATTGACTGTGTCACTGAGTAACAGTTTAAAAATCATTTTACCTCTGTGAAACTTTCCTCAACTATGAAATGAAAGAACTGGATTTGGATATTTCTGAGGTCACTTTTACTGCGGCATCTGATGACTCTGTTTCACATGTAGCTGTTTTTCATAGTTATAACACTTACTCCTACAGTTGGATGATACCACTAACATGGAAAGAAATAATGTTTGGCATTCATTATAAAATTATATTAATACTCTTAAATATTTACAGTTTTCCAAAGCTCACTGACATCTGCCTTTACATCTAGCTAAGTTATGTAAGTAATGATACGACCTGGGGTATAGTCAAAGTCATTTGACAAAAACACAGGGTTTTGCAGATGATTGCTTTGGGTCTCTGGGTTACATTTTGGGATAGGTGTGTATTTGCAAATGGGGATAAAAAAATACATGGTAAAAATAGACTATGTTATAAAAACTCTAAGGAGTTGCATAGTCAGTTGACAATGAGGTGATGAAGTCATTTGGATTAGGTACATGGGCCAACCAGCCCTGGAGGACCAGCAGACATGCTGGAAAAGAGGCACCAGGGGTCATGAAAGCCAAGCAACCTGTGATACTAATTGGTATTAAGATGCATTTTCACTTATGTGATTCCATTTACTCCATTACTTTTACAACTTTAGTGAGATATAATTTCCTTACCATACAATAATGTATTTAATGTATTTCTCCATCCCTAACACTTTCCCCATCCTTAAACAACTTTTTAAAAAAGATTTATTTATTTATTTATACAGACCAAACTTTATACATACAGGCCAGAGGGGCAGGGGGTGAGAGGATTCATCAGAGACAGAACAGGCAGATGGAGTGAAATAAACTGCTGAGGGGAGCAGTGGGTGGCGCAGGAGAGGTCTGCCACACCATGTGTGTCACTCCCACTCAAACTGGCAATGCAGTGACTGCAATAGCCTCAGAGTGCTGTGCTTTAACCTGTTGCACCACCAGGGAGGGCCCCCCTAAACAACTCCTTTTTAAAAAAAAATATTTTATTTTTGCATCACAGAACTGGGGTACAGGCCAGAGGTGCAGGGGCAGTGAGAGGATTCACCAGAGATAGTGGGGAGCAGAACAGGTTGCCTGATGAAGTACACTGCTGAGGGGAGCAGCGGGAGAGTCAGGAGAGGTCTGTGGCGCCATGTGGATCACCTCTGGGGCAGGCGGGGATCGAACTCATGTGGAAGGAGCTTATTAGTACTGTGCTCTAACCCGCTGTGCTAGGGCCCCTCTAAACAACTCTTAAACGACTTTTTACCTCTATAGATTTTTCTTTTCTGGATGCTCGTATGAATGGATTCCTATAAATATGTGGTCTTTTTTGGCTGGATTCTTTCACTTTAGTATTTTTCAAGAATCATTCATATTTAGCTTGTTTTTTTTAATGGCCAGGTAATACTCCACTGAATGGATATACCACATCTTGTTTATTCATTAGTCAATTATAGCCATTATGGATACTTAGGTTTCTGCTTTTTGGCTATTATGAGTAATACTGACAGAAACCTCTGTGTGGTTTTATATGTTCAGTCCCCTTGGGTATGATTCTGGGAACTAATTGTGGTAATTCTGTATTTAATTGAGGAACTGATAGTGTTTTCGAAACCAGCTGCATCATTTTACATTCCTATCAGCAGTGCTATGAGGGTTCTGATTTGTTTACATCTCATTTATACTAGCTTATTAATTAAACTTTTATTCTTATGTATTAATTTTTGCTAGGCTTTTTACAACGCTGAAAATGTATTTGTCTTCCTTAGAATGAAACATTAGGGGAGGACTCATGGTCTGTGTGTGACTACAGTTCCTTTTCTCATTCATTTTTCCTCCCCTTCTTAAGGCAGTTAGCATAGAGTGGAAAGAACACAGGGTGGTGTATTTTAATGAGATTCTTCATATAAGGAAGATTTCTCTTCTTCTGCTTCACAATATGTCTCCAATTTTTTCCTAGGAAATCATGTATCAGTATTCATTTAGTCATTCACTTACCTATTATGTTTAAGATATTGCTTCTGATATTGGGGATAAAAAGGAGTAAAATGAACAAAATCTCTTGCATTCATGGGGCTTATATTCTATTGGGAGGAGAAAAGCAATACAGAAAATAACTGAAAAAACATGTGATATGTTTACTGGTGATAATTGCTTTGGAGAAATTTTTGAAAAAAGAGTTTGAGGTGGACTTAGAGTGTTGTAGCTTAAAATAGCTCATTTAAAATGATCACATTAATTTTAAATGTGATCAGGGAAGCTTCCACTGGAAAAGGTCACATTTGAACAAAGGCTTGGAGAGGAAGGAGGGAACAATGGTGATTTCTGAGAAAAGACTTGCAGAGAGGAATAATAAATGAAAAGCCCTAATGGTGAGTGTCCTGACTTTTTCATGAAGTGATTGGTTTACCCAGAGCACAGCAACAGAGGTAGGAAGGAAGACCAGAAAGATGTTGCAGTTCTATGAAATGGTTCAAAGGCTAGTATGACTTGGCTTTTTTTCTGAGTGAGATGGGGAATTACTTTAGGGTCTTGAATAGAGCAGTAGCATGGTCTGATTTCTACATGCACATACTCATTCTGACTGCTGCTTGGACATAGTCTAAACTGGAGCAAGGGCAGAAACAGGGAGGATATGGGATTATTGTATTTCATAACATCTTTCTGGCAGAGAAGGGTTGTATACCGTAAGTTAAGCTGGCCTCTGTAGAAATTTTGAGAAATAATCAGATGACATTTACCTTTGGAAGATAAAACCTAAAGGACTAAGGTGATGCACTGGATGGGCAGTGTGAGAAACAAGACAGAGACCAGATAGATTATGAAGAGTTGGTTTGAGACACAATCATCCCATAAACATTTACTGAGATTGAGGGTGAGCAAAAAGCAGAT